TTCGTATTTTATTAAAAAATATGTGGAATTTGGTATACTCAATTTTTTTAACAATTAGATTAAGTCGTTTTTTACAAAAGACCCTATTAATTAATATTTTATATTTTAAGATTGATTCTAGTAAAAGTTAATTTTTGCCCCAACAAGCCCCAAACCCCAGGCTTGTAGATTATATTGGTTTATTAAATCTCCTATAGGATAATTGTTATTATCAATAATAAACCATTTGTATATAAATAATTCATAAAAAATTTCAAAATGTGATATTATATTTTAAAAAATGTTTAAGTTTTAATGAATTTTTTAATTTTTTTTCTAATTCTTTTGATTATCAACCACCAGAAAAGGTGAAAGTTAAAGGGAAAAAAATAGTATTTAAAGCTATAATAGCCAATGAATACTTATTATATCATATTTTTACGCATAATATAATTAATTCGACCTAATTCTACTAGCCCCTAGTTACTGATACAGCGCTAAAAAAATATGTTGATAATTTTTAAAATTTTTTAAATAAGATTAGATGAAGGGGAACATTGGATTGAGACCTCTATCTTATTAAATCTTTTGTAATCGTCAAAATTATTAATTTTATAGCTTTAAAACATAAAATCTTATCTTTTTTAAATTTAAACATTGTTAAATTTAAAAATAATAAATGCCAACTCCTGTTTCAAATATAAATCTTAAAATTATAAAAAATATATTTAATTATATATTTTGGTGGTTTCAATAGAGATGATATGATATGTGAATTTAGTTCAAATTTAATATTTTGTAAGTTATTTTCAAATCATATTATTCTGCCTGAAAGGGAATGCCTACAATAAATATTTTTAAACATAATGATTATGAGACTTTATGAAATGGGAAAAGAAGATTTTTTAATTTCATATTCTGTCTATTTAATTATTTCTAAATCTCACTGTGCAAATTGGTTTATTATTCATGATAGGTATAAAACAATTTCAACTTTAAGAGAGACAGAAGGCCATAAATCCATATTTTTATGCTGTTTAATATTATAGTGAAAAACATTTTAATTATGCTTTAATATTATTTACTTATCTTAAATTCCGTATAAAACAATTTATAAAATACAGAGAAAATATTCAAAATAACGAAATTTGAAAATTTAGGGCAGGGCTTTAAATAATCAGAGCTAAAAAATGCAGACCGAAGAACACAGGTATATTAATTTACGACATTTATATTATTTATTTTATTACTAATTATGACATTGAAATATGTTAAATTCAATTTTGTCTGTACTGTAAAAAATAGCTAAATATTAATAAAAATATACTAGAATCAATCTTAAAATATAAAATATTAAAAATATTTATTAATGTATAACTTAAGTTAAGTGTTTGTTGGGCTATCTCATGGTATTTAATAAATTCAATTATAAATTGTCAAGCTTATGAGGATATTGACAAAAACGACTACTAGCCCTATTCCTACTATTGGAAGAAAGTTGATAATGAGATCAAAAATTTTGATTATTTACCGGGTGGCTAAAAAACTTCGCGTTTTGAAATCTTATTAACTCCGAAACGTGTCATTCGTTTTTTATGAAATCTCCTGTCTTAATATTCTCAAAATATATAATTTTATAAAGTGGTTTTTAAAAAATTAAAATAAAAAAAATGTAGTCATACATATATATTTTTAAAGATTTCCTTTAATTCATAAACTATAACATAAAAACAAAATATTTTAAATTTTATAAAGTGGCTTTTAGAAAATTAAGATAAAAAAATGTAGTCGGACATATATATTTTTAAAGATTTCTTCAAATTCATAAACTATAACATAAAATATTTTGGCATTATTAAACAAATCTCATTATTAAATACCACTAACAATATAAACATACGATAATTTTCTAAATTATGTATTTTATCAAATATCTGATAATGATAAAATTTTGACATGAGAAGAAAAATTGGAATCAAGTTTAATTCCTGAATTCTCTAGGAAAAAGTGGAATATTAATCCAGTTCACCAAGCTAACCCCATGGTTTTATAACTCATCAAGCTCCTTTTGTTTTTCAACTAAGATTTTATCAAGCAAAACCATAGATTCTAATACGAATTCCACTAGAATTTATCAGATACCTACCCAATTTCTTGATGTTACCTGCCATATTGGTAGACTTTTTTGTTTATTCCACAAAGTAAGACACTTTTGGAAAGAACTTTGTGATATTATTTTATGTTATCATCAAAAGCTAAAAAATTTCTGATGCCCATAATTAGGGGAGACCGGTGTTATAATGAAACCAGGGTTATAGTGAGAGTGGCTTTATTTTCTAGAGTATTAAACTCTAAGAGATAATTTTTTACCAAAACTATATACTTATATATTGCATATGCGGCTATAATTTTTATTTCTATCGGACCGCTTGAAGAATTTTTATAATGCTTTATATCATTCGTACTTTCAAAAGTAACTTTTTACACTTTTACTATTTTTCAAAAATAAATATTAATATACAATTTTACCACACAAAAAATCATCTTATATAAAAGAAAAAATCTTATTTTCTAGAATTACAATTTACCCGAACATAATTGATAATATAAATACTTCAAAATATGATCTTAATCAAAGTGGTGCTACTGGGGCTATTTTTATGGGGTTAGGTCGAACCTTTTTTTTGCTATTTTTTAAAAATTTGACATGCAAAAAAAGCCAAGGAGAGACCAACTAAAAGAAAAAAAATCGAAAAATGTTATTATATGATAAATAATTGTTTGGCATATAAATAAATTATATCAAGCATAACAATCAAGACTGCTTTCAATGTCAGTTATTAGTACATGGCTTTGCAATTTTATTGTTTTTTTATTTGCAAAGATTGTGAATGTTTTAAATGATTTTATATAACACTTTTATTTTAAATCATTAAATATATTCTAATAAAAAAATATATAACTTTTATATATGGAAAATTAAGCAGAGTTTATAATAGCCTCGACCAAGGGCTTGTTCGTCCCCGGGTAGGGTTCACTCTTTTACCAAAAAAAATTCCAGGAAAAATGATATTTTGAAAAAATTATTAGAGATGTATTTTTGAAATTTAAACATATCAAAAAACTAATAGAGCTGAACAAAATGAGATATTTTTTATTAAAAATGATAAAGTACTTATAATTTTCTTAAGGTTTGCCTTTAGGGTTCGCCATTACCTCGTTCTCCCCTACAAGTTTTCAATAAATTAAAAAGAAAAAACTTGATGTTTTATATTTAAAATGATTAGATGAAAACGAGAAATCTATTTTATTACTTAGAATCTTTTTTATATATTTTAAGTCAAAAAAAAGAAAAGCCTTAGCCTTAATTTCATAGAAAAATATTTTTAGAGCCAATCCCTATTTTAACTTAATTTTCAGATTCAACTAAGTCAGTCGAAAAGTCGATAAATATAAAATTGTAACTTTCATGAAACTCCATTCGCGATATGATAATGCATTCGCTATAATGCATTCGCGATAATTCATTCGCTATAATGCATTCGCTATAATGTATTCGCTATAATGCATTCGCGGTAATATATTCGCGAGCATTTGCGATAATTCATTCGCTGTAATGTATTCGCTATAATACATTCGCGATAACATTTTCGCGGTATTACATTCGCGCTAATACATTCGCTATAATATTTTCGCTGTATTATATTCGCTATAACGCATTCGCGGTAATGCATTCGCTATATTATATTCGCGATACGCTATAATATCTTTTCGCGGTAATCGACATTCGCGATAATACATTTCTCGCTAAAATTTTCCGGTATTGACATGTAACCAGGACAAATATATTCTCTTTGTTAATTTTATGATACATTGTTGTCCAAAGCGTCACTTTTCTTAAACCTTTTATGGAATAGTAATTTGAAAGATTCAATGGATTTGTACAAAACATATTATAAAATATTAATAAATTAATTAATTTTAAAAATGATAAATTTTAGGAAAAAGTAACAGATAAAAAAAATCAATAGATAATTGGAAAAATATTATTCAAAAATCGAAAATTTAATTAATGCTTACTTAATAAATTTTATTATCTATAAATTAAATTCAAGGAAGTTTAATTAAAATTATCTAAATATTTATTATACGCTTACTATTAATTATTCAATAAATATTTTATTATTGAATAAAATTTTTTTCTTAGATTGACTTATATTGTTAAAATTGATATTTTAAACTATTTACGTCATCTAGCGGATTTTTCAAAAATATGATCTTTCTTAATTAATATTTTTGGCCCCACTATGAAATTTTCTATATGAACAGTTCTTGGTACTTTTTACAAAATATCTGAAATTTGGAAAAAAAAATTTAGTCTAACATTTTAAAAAATTAATTACAAATTTTTACTATTTAAAAAAAATATATAAACTAAAAATTAATTTTATTTAACATACGTTCAAGAGTTTACTTAGGGCTATAAAATGAACCATAATAAATATACATAGTGCATCTAATATAAAAGTTATCTCAATTTTAATCATTTTTTTCGGAAAATGACCAAGCTGAGCCACTTTGAAACCCTATATCTCCGGTTCTAATAGAGTTAAGAAGCTAATATTTTGGATTCGTCAATTACAATACTTTATTAACTTAAATACCATTTTAACAAAATCTGAGATAGTCGGGTTATAAAGTGATTTATTTGACATGGAATGGTCCAGTAATAATATATTTTCAAAATTTTGGTCATTAAGGCATCCTTGTTTATCTGTAAAGACATTTTTGGCTACACTCAGTCTTTCTACCAGGGCGCTTGAAAAGTTGGGCTGGCCCTGCAGGACTTGAATCGTGTATCGCTGGCTTAGGCCGATACCATATTGGTACCGTCTAAAAGTGGTATAAGTTCATCTATGATTTTTTTTATTAAAAAACATAAATTTGCGTTATCTTATAAAGCTAATTATAATCCTAACATTAATATTTTTTTATTCAATTTACAACTATTATATCTTAAGCAAGCCCTACACCAGAACACAACAGAGAAGCTTACGATTTGCTCTATGGCAAGATATCTCACAATGTTTTCCAAAGATATTTATCCATCGATTATGATTCACGATCTCTTCCAACGTTAAAGGAAGAACTATCTAAACTGTGCTTAATTCTCAAAGAAACTCTTAAGAATTCCTCCTTCATTTTGGAGGCCTTCATTATGGATATTCCCTTAAGAGAATTACGTTCTGCCCTGGCATGCAAAATGGCTAATTACGCAGTTTGGAAAATTTCCACTTCACGCCTTCTCTCTAACCATTTAGGGCCTTTAAAAAATAAGCGCGACTTAGCATTAATGTCACGGCGGGCACTTGCCACGGAATATCATGTAAGCTCCTCACGACTTGGTTTGAAGGGCATAATCGACGCTGTCATGACAACTGAGCCTCCTTCTCAAGGTTATCTATCAAACATGATTTTTTAAATAAGCCTAATAATCAGAGTTCTCCTTTGTGTAAGATCTATTTTGCAGAACTAGAAATAAGTTTATTCATTAAATTTTAAAATCGATGTAAATTACCTTATAAAAGATGACAAACTTTAATTAAGTCAAGAATGTTAGACTGATTAAGGTTAAAATATATGGTTGACAAAAATCATGATTTTATTGATACCGACCCATAAATTAACTTTTTACCAGGTGTATCGATACCACCTTTTGGAGGCCGATCCGATATTGTCGAAGTTATATTGATATTGGCTGATTACCTCTCCAATATAACACAAATCTGATTTCGTCATTATGCATACTATTTTAATTTTTATGATTATACCACAACAGTTATTTAAAATATTAAATTTGAATTAATTTATCATTTTAGGCTTATTTATTCAGATATTCATCAATCTAAAAGTATATAAATATTGATAAATCATTTATTTAATTTAGTAAAATCGTTGTAAATTTTTTGTTCCAAAATTCTTACTATCGTATGAAAAGTATAATTCTATCTTGCCTATTCATGATAAATTTATTGGATTTTTTTAAAAATTATTAATCAGAAACAACACCTTTATAAAAATAAATAACATATTTCCAATTATTTATTTAGTTTTTAAAAAATTATCACTTCAAATATATAAGAATGTTCTTATACATAGTATATTTTTTTAAATATTAATAAATTTAAAATAAAAATTAAGACTATCCAATGACATATATAATACCTAGACTAACGATTCATTCAAATGCATTTTTAAGCTTCGTTAAAAGCAAATCAGCTGGACCCGCCATTTTGGTAATATATGGTAATTATTCTTATCAAAACAACACTCTGGTATTACAACAACAAACAACTACTTTTTTAATGTATCTATGTTTTTTTAACTTACTCCAATTTTTTTTCCCTCTTGAAACACGAAAATCGATAATTTTTATTTTTCTTTCCTTAAAATATGAAATCGTACATAAAAATAATAATTGTTTCTTTTTTTTTTCTTTTTTTTTCACGCTTATGTATTTATTTTTTACAAAATCATCATATATCATCACTCACCATCGTAACGAAAACCCCCCACCATGCAAATACCCCCCCCCCCCCCAAAAAAAAAACTATACCATGGACCAATCCGGGTGATTCCAATCCCACCCCAATACCGCTTCTACTCTCCTATTAATAATCCATAAGTCCAAAACCTCTATCCTCCTCCCGTCATTGCCTCTATTTCCACTACTCCCATTACTGCTATTTGCGATCCATCGAATTGTCGTATTCTCAAGCCTTCATTTGCTATCATTCCATCGGGCCAAATACTCTTATATCTCGCATAACTCATTACTGAAATAGCTGCCCCGTGTCAAATAGCATAGGTACCCTATTTCCATTGAAGTCTATTATTACTCTAGGACAAGGATCATGTATTACCTCGTCTTGTATCATCCTTACATTCCCAATTATATTTCTTTGTTCTCGTGAATATATTTTGTTTGTTTCCAATAACCCACTCTCCTGGCCCCGTGTATCATTTTTTTACCATCATATAGTCACTAATTAGCACAATCCCTTGCCACATGTCCCCTCTCTCGACATCGAAAACATTCCACGGTTTGATCTTCAACTCCCTCCGGAAATACTTCTCTTCCCCTAACTCTGGCATTCTCACTGTCTCGCACAATTGAAGTATTTGGTCCAATTACTCTCTGGGGAAAACCTCCTCGAGTATTATAATTCTAATTTTAAAAATACTATTTTTTCCGTAATACGTCGGGGTCACCAATATCAAAACAACACTCTGGTATTACAACAACAAACAACTACTTTTTAATGTATCTATGTTTTTTTTACTTATAATTTTTATTTCTTTATTTTTCTTTCCTTAAAATATGAAATCGTACATAAAAATAATAATTGTTTCTTTTTTTTTCGCGCTTATATATTTATTTTTTACAAAATCATCGCCGTTTATTTATTATTTTATTTATCAACAGTCAATCAATCTTTTTTTTTTAATATTTATTTATTCAACTCCTTATTATTCGCATACTTTGCCATTATATTCCTTTAGTGCTAGGCGTAATAGCTTTCTCCCTTAACAATTCTCATGTTAAAAACTACTATTAAATTGATAACTTGCTTCCTTATTATCTCGATGATCCGGTAATTCTTTAATAAAGTTTGCATCAAATATAGGAATAAATTAGGCTCTCGTTTAAAATTTTAATAATGATTAGTGTAACTAAGATGGCGTCTCCATCTGTTTTGCATTGATGTACATAATGAATGAATCGTCAGTCTAGGTATTATATATGTCATTGAGACTATCGGATCTGATCGAAACATTTAAAAATATCGGTCGGTTACCTATATTTTAAGAGACGAAAATGGGTTATATCTGATAAAAAATATCGCTATGCCCCTACTTTTTAGCTCTACCATTGGCTGATTCATGGACAATTTATTATTCTAAAAAGTATTATACCAACCCAAAATAATAATAAATTTATTTACGATTGTTATTTAATGATATATTTTGTCAAACATGCCATTTCATGTAAAAGAATTTTATAAAAAATAAATTAATATATATTTAATTTTTAAATAGTAAATTGTCGCAATTTCAGCTTATCCTTTAAAGGGTATATCTGTTAAAAAGTACTCTGGTTTGTTATTAATTATCAATATTTATTATTTTGCCCATTTTTTTTAATTATACTTTTAAGGATTATATATAATGATAAAATAAAGCATTCAGTAGGGTGAATTATTTTTTAAACGTTTTTTAAGATAAACCATTTTTTAAAGGCAAAACATATGCTTTCATAAGCGAATTAAAGACTGGAAAAGCCACGTTTAGTATCGAACATCAAGGTCAAGTCATGCTTTACAATCTTCTCCTCAATAAAAGTATTAGATAAAAAAAAATTTATGATTATATTCAATAAATCGCTACTTAGCCAGCTTGATCTGATTTATAATAATAACATTATGGCAAAAATGTATATAGGTTTAAACCAAAAATATATCAATAAAAAATACATATAAGGCAAATGGGCTATTCCAGTTTAAAAGGAATTTACAATATTTTTTCTTTATAAATATTCAGATAAAGGTAGGGATAATTGGAAATCTCTTAAGTCATTTCTGTTATGGCTTAATCATAGCCAATAAATATAGCTACAGCTGATTAGCCTTAGCCATTTTATTAAGCCTGGATTAGAGCCGATTTTATTACAATTAGCTCTAAGTTTATTAAATCGGCTAAACCATTAATATTTGTAAGATATTAACAAGAGCCGTTTAAAATCGACTCATAAATAAAATACCCAACTTTTTATATCAAAATTTTTTTTATTTAAAGTAACATGTGTTTGGAAAATATCTTTTTTTCACTGTAATTACGATCAATTTTGAAATTTACTACATGGAGTGAGAAATTATACCTTTTATATAATATTTTTTGGTCTTTTCCAGGCGCGTAACCAATGGTGGGACAAATCCCTCCCCCTTCTTTAGCAGAAAATTATAAATTATTTCAAATAGGTTATATTTAATGTTTTAGCAACATGTTAAAATTAATATCTTCTTTGTTTATTAAGATTTTTTCTCACGAAAATTAAAACATATATTCATACAATTTAAACCTCTGATGGATTAAGAAAATTTTTTATCAACCAAAAAAGTAATATAATTTAATAGGAAAGATATATAAACCAAACCAAATAATCAGAGTTGTTAAATGTCTATTATCTGTAAATAGATACACACTTAAATGTGTCTGCAAATGTACCTAAGTATAGATACAATCAAAACACTATTTTATTATAGTTATATAAGGTGTGCATAATGCGTAATATAGGATTCTAATTTAAATTTTGAAGTAAGGCAAAAAAAATTATGGAATTGATATGATATCTCATCGACATTCAAAATATATAACTATATGATAAATAATAATTGTTAAATTTTAATAATACATTATACAAAATGTTATATTTGAATGTTTATATATATTTTAAAAGGTTACGCTATTTGAATGATATATTTCTTACATTTTATATTATCTTATGGAGGTCAATGTAATTGCATATTAGTAGTAGTTAAATGACATAATTATAAAAGACTATATATAGGAAACAATTTTATAATAAAGAATCTATTGTTTTGACTATAAAAAATGGCGACGAAATAAAAAAAAAAATCTAAATCGCAAGGTCTTCGGTCAAGTTTAATAATATATAGAATTATAAAAAATTTTTCTGTTTATAAAAAAAAATTATATATATTTAGAAATTATGGATAAAATTATTCTCCAGGACTTTAAAAAGGAAGATTGTTCTATCGAGGACTACGTTGATTATATCAAATATATACTAAATGTGAAAAATATTCCTCAAACTGACGCCACTTTAAAAAAATTATTTATAGCTTATGAAGGAATAAACATTATAACTGATATCAAAAAATTACTCTATCCTAGGAATATAGAAAAGGTAGGATGGATTGACATATATAAAATAGCAAAACAACTATATAAGAACTATTTTGGCATCAAGAATTGATTTCAAAAATATAAAGGAGCTAGCCCAAAGATGCGAATTTGTAGACAATGTAGAACTGAGAATTCGAGATCAATTAATCGCCGGACTAAAGATGTCACAACTGGATAAAGAACTACGATTAAGATATCCAGATACTAAAGACGAAGATCAATTGGCATAGCGATGGAACGAGCCGACTTAGAAATAAATAATACTGCTAAAATGGTATATAAAATCAAAGAGCCGAATAAACATGATAATAATAATCGGATAAATAAAAATAATCGGCAGTATAATAATAATGATCATGATAAACGGCACTATCAAAATGATAATAAAGCATATGTAAAAAGAGAACTAGTGCCCGGGTATAATAACTACCATACAAATAATAATAGTAATTGGAGAAAACCATGCTATTTCTGTAATCGGTTTCATGCTATTAGAAATTGTCCCGCCTACGGAAAATTGTGCAGCAAATGTAGGAAACCAAACCACTTCGCCGTATGTTGTAAAACCAAAGAAAAGATTTACGTAACAAATTACTATAATAAAGAAGACGATTCGGATGTCTCAATAAGAAAAAGATACAAATATGGGCAACATCCAACATACAAATATTGGCAACATCCAACAATTGAGGTATTAATAAACAACCAAAAAATTAAAATGGAATATGATACTGGCTCGGCAGTAACCATTATTAATGAAATAATGAATAAAATCGGAAGGCCAAAACAGAAGGGCTAAAGCACCAACTACATATGGAAATAATGGAATAAAAATTATGGGTGAAGCTGATGTAAAAGTACAATTAAATAATAACATAAAATGGCTTCCATTATTAGTCGCACAAACAAATGATGCAGCTCTATTTGGATTTCCATGGATTATCGAATTTGACTTAGCGTTACCAAAAAATGTAAAAATCAATATGATCAACAATAGATATAAATACAATGATAATAGTAACTTAAATATTAACAAACTATATAAAGAATTTGCTACGGTGTTTGATAATAAATTAGGATTAATAAAAAATGTCAAACCAGTAAAACTACAATTGGAAGAAAATACAAAAATGTATAAGAATGGAGCAAGTAATATAATTGCAGATGCTTTATCGCGAAACCCACTGAACTTAGAGATGAAACTGCTAAAGATCCAATTTTAAGAAGAGTAAAAATATTATTAAATGGTACAAATATACAAAATCAAGCACCAGAATTACAAGCTTTTAGAACAAGAATAGATGAAATAGAAAATGATGACGGTATCCTATTTTGTAATGGTCGCTTAATAATTCCATATTCACTACAAAAACGAGTTTTATAGATATTACATACAGGTCATCCCGGTATTACATCGATGAAATCCATTACGAGACATTATATATGGTGGGGAAAATTAGATAAGATGTCGAAAAATTAGACAACCGCTGTATTGGGTGTCAAAAACATCGCAGAGATATACCAGAAGTTGCCGTATGCCCATGGAATCCGCCAGCACAACCCTGGGAAAGGGTACATTTAGATTTTGCCGGACCACTAGACGGATTTTATTGGCTGGTAGGAATCGATGCTTATTCAAAATGGATGATCGATAGAATCAAAGATACCACAAGTAAAAATTTAATAAATAGATTAGAAAAATGGCTTACACGATATGGTGTTCCATATCAAATTGACACCATACAAAAATCGGTATTTTGTAAATAGAAAACAATCAAATGATGGGGAAAAATGCCTTAATGAAGTATTAGTTACATATAGAAATTCCGAACATTCCTCAACGGGCCGGATACCTGCCAAACTATTTATGGGGAGAAGACTAAATACTTTATTAGACTGGGTGAAACCATCAATTACTGAAAATCTGTAGTAAAACACGATCAGTTAAACAAAGGCATACATAGAGATTTTGGAGAAAACGAATTAGTTTGGATAAAAAATCCACTTGATGTCATGAAGGAAAAATAATAAATCAACAAGCATAATTCTCGTATAACGTAGAAGAAAAAGATAAAATAGTACGAAAACACGCAGATCAACTACGAATAAGGACGAAACCAAATCAATAATACCAATTGAACCAAGTCAAAAAGGAAGGCAACCGCGTTATCGAACAAGGGAACGAAAGCCAACAAAAAGATTAATAGACGAACTTGAACTTGGTAATAAAAAGATTGATAGACGATCTTAACTTGGTGGGAAAGAAGATATGTTATATTTGAATGTTTATATATATTTTCAAAGGTTACGCTATTTGAATTATATATTTCTTACATTTTATATTATCTTATGGAGGTCAATGTAATTGCATATTAGTAGAACAAAGGTCATATAAAAAAACAAATCACAATTAGAAAGATATAACGCATATATATAAATTTAAATTTAAAAAACAATTAATAGGTGATAACAAAGGTGAGACCGACTTACTTTCATTGCTATATGGAACCAAGAATAGCAGTGCAATTACTTTGATGAATAGCCATCGTAATGGCTTGTTTGAAATAGAAAGCTTCATGATCACAACTTATTTGGCTTTTTTCTCCCTAATAATGTGATAAATTTATGGAATTTCTCACCAAAAATCAAGAGTATTGGTGACAAGTGGGATAAAAATTACGTTAGCCATGTCTGAAAATTTATTTTCTAGATTTCTACTGAACTAGTTGTTGAGGTATTTATGTTAGATCGTGCCGAAAAATCGATGCATTATAATCCCAAGCAACTGGAAGACCAGACCAAGCCAAACTTGATGCTAGTTCATAATCCCTAAAAATTAAAATTTAACTATCATAAAAGATTTTGATTATTGTAAAGTTAATCAATCTTAATTATTTTATAGTTATCGTTATTTCAATAATTTGGCTTAATATTATATATAATATAATATATAACTTTTTACCAGAATTGAATAAATTATTTTGTAAATCTGATCAGAACAATTAAGAAGAAAATTAATTTATAAATTCAAATGTAGCAAGTGGAAGTTAAATAAATAATAATTAATATAATTTATACTCTGCTAAATATTAAATAAAATTTAAATTCATTAAAAAATAAACCATGGCTTAGCTAAATTATTATATTTATTTATTTTAGTAATAAAAAAAATTCTTTAGTTTTCGATTCCTTCATGATGCAAATATATTTTTAAATAAATTGTAACTTATCAAGATTGATAAACATGCATTTAATGCATACTAGTTAATTTATCAAAATATTTATTCGCTATAACCCTGATTTAAACTGAAATGTGTCAATGGAGATGTTAAATATCTAAAATTTATATTTTTGAGTTTCAAAATTTTAAATCTTTTCAATTAAATTCATTGGATTAATACTTGTAAATAGTAATTATTAAAAATATATTGCATTTCGTTTAATATTCATTTATTAAAAAATAACTGCCAATGTAAATATTTATGAAAAATGTAAATAGTTATTTTAATTTTTTTAACTAGTTACTTATGAGAAATTTCAACTAACTAATTTTTTAGAAACTAAAGACTATGAAATCCACCCAGATCTGAAAGATGGCGGTCTTATATTATATTTGGATAGCAATCCTAGTAAAGGTCATCATTCTATGCGAGAGGTATTTCCCACTATTGCCGGAATCGATAGTAGATGGGTCACCACGGAGGGAAAACATCTACAGGGACTTTTACAAATTAGAAATGAATTAGCTCGATTTAGTAGCTTCCCTAAACTTATACCCCAATGCTTTATGAATGGCGTCAGTCATTCTTCAAATATGAAGGCGTTGGAAGAAAGGGGGCACGATCATACTCGCATTTTTAATATGGCAAATTCCTTAGGAGAGATTATTGATATGAAAGAATTGTATGCTCTCCCTAGCCCTATCAGAAATATAGCTATGTGTCGAAGATGTCCTCAGTCCTGGACATGCAGTTTAGCTGGAAAGGGCTTTCCCTCGCCTACCTCTATTACGGATATAGAGGAATTCAAGCCAAGTAAACGATTTAAATCACGAGACACGATAGATGGTGGCATTCTAGAGGAATTTGATTCACCCGAATCTAAAAAAGTTTTTAAAGCATATATTCCATCGGTTAACATCGACTTTTGGGAATCTATTGTGAATCCTAGTTTATTAAGGCCCATCGATTGGACATTTTTTACTCGGTGGTATGCGCTAAGCCAGCTCGAATCCGATTCCGCAGGTCTTTCCAACTTAGTTGAATTAATGAGGCCCCAACAAATTTACCAGGAATTGCGTTTCTTAATCATTAGAGATCATGATATCCACCAATCTAGAATTTACCCATCTAAATGTATACCGTTATCTATAATATCGACACCGAATAACAATTTATCACAAACGAGGACAATATTCTATAAGCGATTATGTGAAAATTTGAACGTCGATCAAGTTAAAGCTGTACAACTTGCCCTTGATCCTAAAATTAAGTTTTTGTATATTTATTTTTGTTTTTTTCTGTAAACATATTCAGAGTAAATCCTTTATTGTTTAAAATATCATTTTTTAATTATTCAAAAGATTATTCCTCCCTTATTGGCGAATTTCTTGATTTATGTTAAATATACATTATACAACACAATTAGTTCTCGTAACTTTTATCCACTCACTTGACATTGGCGTATTCTAGATAGTGTGTCCCTAAATATATTTATAAATGAGATTATAAATGTTATCTGTTCTATAAAACTTCAAATTAGTGTTTGCAACGGTCCGGTCCGGTCTTTTTTTCTAAAATGGGACCGGACCGATGGACCGTTAAGTCAAATGAGACCGGACCGTCGGTCTGGTCCGGTCCAGGCGGTCCGGTCCCACCTAAAAAAATTTTTTTTATAAAGCTACAAAAGTTTTATTCTGCATTTAAATTTATTAAAAATGAATAGTTAAATTACCCTATTAATATTTCAATTATATCATCAATTCATTTTTATTATATTATACACAAATGCCTAATCAAAGAAGAATATAAAAAGTAAACTATGAATATTGAATTTAATGAAACGGAAGAATATAAAAAGTAAACGATGAATTAGATATTATATAGTGTTAGGCATTAAATAATCATATTTTATATGTTCATGTACATACACATTAACTATAAAGCAATTTATAGTAAACTTTTATATTCTTTAATCGGTCTTCGGTCGGACCGGACAGTGGGACCGTGTTGTTGGACGGGACCGTCCCATAGGACCGAAAAGTCTAATAAGACCGGACTGGACCGGACCGTTGCAAACACTACTTCAAATCATGAATAAAAATGAACATTGAGAAAGTTCAATTTTACTATTCAATAGATTATTTCTCCCTTATTGGCGTGTTTCTCGATTTTATGTTAAATATACATTATACAACACAATTAGTTCTCTTAAAACTCTTTTATTATCCACTCACTTGACATTGGCGTATTCTAGATAAAGTGTACCTAAATATATTTATAAATTAAATTAAAAATGTTATCTGATCTATAAAACTTCAAATCATGAATAAAAATGTTATCTGATCTATAAAACTTCAAATCATGAATAAAAATGAACATTGAGAAAGAACTAAATAGATGTAATTTACCGAATTTATATTGTTTTTCCTGTATATATAGGCCGGCCGCCGACCTTTTTTGGTTACACCGAAAACGCCGCCGTTTAAGATAATCACGGCGGCGCACGGCCGGCGCAGAAATTTCTTTCATGTTTTATACCTTTTTATTCTAATAATTGGTCAACATCACTCTTGTAATGTTTTATTGTCAATCAGGATTTTGATGAATTTTTATTTTCTACTATTTTAAAATCATAGTTATATTGACGTCATTATAGAATTCAATCAATCAAAAATTCCAAAAGTTACCATAATTTTACATATTTTTAAAATGGATGCATCTACATATAATAATTCTATAAATAATTTTAGTATCCTAACTCTGGATAATAAAAAATCCATAGTCTCGAAATTTTTTGCAAAATAATTTAGAGAAATTATTACTGCTCTAAGATATAAAACTGCAGAGGTTGAATTTGAATTCAAGGAATATCAAAGAAAATGCTAGTACAATAGATTTAACATCAGACATGTTAGATCTTGACAGCATTGATCCATACTCAGATACCCGTTTTCAAATTGGCAATTCCAATGATAATAATAACAATAATTCCACGCATATGTAAACCTTAAAATTAAATATCCCAACACGTTGGCATAGTATATTAAATATGATAAAAAGCATATCTGGATTAAATAAGAATTTTATTAATAATGTTTTGAAAAGAATTGGGAAGCACCTCAATTATCAAATTATGAATCTGATCTGGTAGAAGAACTATTAGCATTTCTTTCAAAATTTAAGGAAACTGTTGAATTTCTTTCAGTAAAGGGCCTACTTTAAACTTGACGTTACTTTTTAGAAGTGAAATTGAAACACATTTAATAGTAAATGATAGTGATAGTTCTAAAATTATTTCACTTAAGGAAAATATGCTAAAAAAACTTGCTTTACGATTTCCGGTTTGTAATCTGCAAGTAATATATAATATTCTTATATTTTTTATTTAAAATTCTTTAGATATTAGCTTCTCTTTTAGATCCAAGATTTTAAAAATTGACAATTGTGTCAAAATATTTAATAGAGCAAAATTGCACAGCTTCAGAATTTATAATAAAACATCTTTAACTTATAGAGAATGATGATAATCAGTTAGTAACTATAGCTAATAATGAGGATAAGATGAATTATTAAATTCAAGTTATTTGAAAATTGGCATATAAACATTCAACAAATATATATTATGATTCCATGTTAGGTGACTTAAAACAAGAATGCCACAGTTTTCTTGGAAATCGACATTCACAAGATATAGACGTTCTAAATTTTTGGAGAGGAAAGAAGAGTAAACTACCCAATCTTTCCAGGCTCGACAAAAAAATTATTTACATTCCGGCGACTAGTACACCTAGTGAAAGAGTTTTCTCTAATGCTGGATTGACTTTAAATTCAAGGAGATCATCATTATGTCCCGAAAATTTAAATAAAATAATTTTTATATGATAAAATTATAAAATTACGAAATCGATTTTGGATTTAATAAGTTTTCTATTAAATAAATATTAAAAAATATGCCGAGATATCTGTAGAATAGTGTATATATTTTTTAAAAAATTAATAAGCAATTAAAATATGTTATAAAAATTTATAACTGCGCCGATTTACGCCGATTTTATTGACGGTGGCTAAAAATCGGCGCGCCGCCGGCCGTCGATTAAATTTTTTGAAAATTGCGCCGGCCGCCGATAGTTTTCGGCGCACAAGTCTATATATATATAATTTGCTTTTTTATAATCCTTTTAATTAAAAAACCATGTAGCTCCTATTTTTTTAGAAAATTTTAACCCCCCCCCCTCTACCTTAAGTAAAATTGCAAATACGCCACTGTCAATTGGTATAGTTTTTATTTATTACTTCTTATCAATATCGCACTTCACCTATTCGATTTCAGCTTATGGGCGTGAAAATAGAGATCAATTTGTAAATCGTGTCTTAAATTAAGTGATTTAAAATAAAAAAAAATTGGGTTCATTTATATTTTATTTATAAATAAAGAATTGAGTCCATTAAATATTTTAAAGCTTACCCCGATTAAGATTTTTTATTATGATTTTTTATCCATTTAATCCTTCTTTCATAACGACTGAACATAAATTTTTATTATTATAATTTTAGGAATTTTAAGTTTTACGTAAAGGAGAATTAGCTAGAATTTCCTCATTTATTATCTCAATATTAGCAAGTATAAATTTTGTTATTTTTTGAAATAACGAGTCCTTTTAATGGCTATTTCCAAACATAACGTTTTTTCAAAGCGGTTTTTGGGTAATGTTACCAGCAATCAATTTGTTATTTCCAAAAAAATGTTAACTTCTCGAATTACTTTTTTTATAAAAAATATTTAAATAAAAAACAATTTAAATCCCCATTTTTTTAATCGTAAATTGAAAACAAACTGGTTTGATTTTAATAACGATTAAAGCGTTTTTGAAATGTGACTCCGGATTGTTTTTTATAAAATATTATATTATATAAAAAAATTAATTCTAGATTTTAACATTTTTTTGGAAATGAAAAAAATTGCTGGTTACATTACCCAAACACCGCTTTGAAAAAACGTTCTGTTTGGAAATGGCCAATTAATGTATAAATTTTTTGCATACCGCTATTCTTCTTTCCTTTAATTTGACTTAATTAAAATAAATCCAATAAACATTTATGGTAAATAAATTTATTATTAAATGGTATATAACTTTTTTTATGTAGATTTTAAGATAATAGCTAACTTAATGGTTTTGGTCATATAAAATTCTATCTTTTTTTAAAAAAAAAATCATATTTATTCCAAATGGTCAGATTTTAACCTAAAAATTGACTTCTTTTAATTAAAAAAAATCATTGATTAAAATATAATCTGGAATTTTTGAACTGTTGCCATTAACCCTATACTTTTCTAATTTATTTTTATCCTTATAATCTAGATATTGTTTAATAAAAGGAGTCCCTGGTTCAGGTAAAACTGAAACCATATGCACTATTATTCGAGCATTAACCGCGACAGGTGCTTCCATTTTACTTACAGCTCACACTAATAGTGCTATAGATAACGTGTTACTTAAACTTAATAAAGCTTTTGACTTCAAGGATTTTGTCCGTTTTACCCCGGATCCCGTTAAAGTTGCTTCTTCTATACAACCATTTATTATTTCCAAAAAGTTGGAACACATTTTCCAAGCTGCACAAACTGTTGATAAGGCTCTCGATGAAGTTCAAGTCAAGTTGAGACAGTTTTTAACTAAAGAAGGTATGGTGTTCGCGTCCACGTGTGCTAATATAGTCAGGTTTTTGCATATTTTTAGTTTAAGATATAAAAAATTAGGATTTTGGTTGATATATTTTTATAATTATAATGTTGAGAAAGCATATTTGATTTACTTCGATCAATATCATCTTCGGTATTGTTGTGCTTTGATAATATTTTGAATTAAAATTTAAACTAACTCCGCATATCAAAAATTTGATAAAAATTATTGTAAAGATTCGACTTATTTAGGTGATTTATTTATATTTACTACATTTATTAATCGTTAAAACAAGAGATTCTCTTGTTCGCAAATTGCGTTACGACGTGTGCATCATGGACGAGGCATCACAAGTTCCGCAATTGCTAGCCCTAGGGCCTCTTTTCTTATGTTCGCGGTTTGTGATGGTTGGGGACCCAAATCAATTGCCACCAATCGTGAAGAGCCCTTTGGCCAAAAAATATGGAGCCGATGAGAGCTTGTTTGACCGACTGCTGCTCACCTCGATCGCCCAATTCTCTAAAAATGATCTCACTCAAGAGCTCACCCCTATTATGCCGAGGGAGTCGATGGCTCAATGTTGTGTCACGGAATTGACAGGGCAATACAGGATGAACCGTGTCGTACTAAGGCTAAGCAACAAGCTTGCATACCAGGGACGTTTAAAATGTGTGAGCCCTTTAGTAGCGAAGGCGACCATTTCCCAACACCAAGTCAAGAAACTCGAAGAAAAAAAATATCCACCTTGGTTAATTTCTTCATTAAGTCCCGAGCTATCAAGATCTATCGTCTTTCTTAATATCTCCGAAACTAAATTTCCTGAAATTGTTATTTCAAATAATACTTGCCGAACCGTCAATTATTCCGAGATTGAAGTAATTTTTGTCTTAGTTGACACTTTGCTCAAACATTTACAGTATCCTCCAGAATGCATAGGGATTATTGCCCCTTATACTGATCAAGTCAACGCTATCAGAGCTCGCTTAATCAAACATTCGAATATGGATTATACAGACACTCTAAAGATTGAAGATTACGACCTAAAGCATCACGTGGAATGCAATACTATTGATCAATTTCAAGGTAGAGAAAAAAATATTATTATCATCTCTTTCACAACTAAAGACGAACGTATCAATCGTTGCGAGAATGTATGCAAAGACATATTGAGTGATTTTCGGAGGCTTAACGTTGCATTCAGTCGGGCCAAGCATAAATTAATTATCATAGGAAACAAACTGGCATTGTTTGCTAAATACCCACTCATAAAAAATACTCTTGCAACTACCCTGAGTTTTAAAGATTTTGTAGATGTATATGGTATGCATTAAAATTATAAAACTAATATTTTAACCCGTTCAGGATTATTTTTTTATAATGATGAACTTAAATCTAATATGTGTTACATGTTTTTATTGACAAATAAAGTGACTTTAATTTATTATACATAGATAATTCTTTATTTTATTGAATGCCGAATACATCCTTAAATCAAATGTTTTGATGAAACTTAAATAGGATTATAAATTGAAGTTTTAATAATATTTTAAACATGTCATATACTAAGATGATCATCTTCTTCCATACTTACATTCAATTACATCTATTTTTCTTTTTCGACCTTCCACTTATAGTTTTGGTTTTCTTCTCATAAGGAAACATAAAGCTGGAAAAACAAAAAACCCAGTTTTGAGCTTGTTTTTAAATTTTAACTTAAAATCTTTTATAATAAAAATGTAAATTCAAGGACTTGAGTTGTTATCATAAAATTTATGGTTTAGGGGTAAAACATAAAGGTTACGATTCTGCTTAAAATTAAAAAGATTTCGGTACGCTTACGGTTTTAGAAAATTATAAGGTTTTTTTGGTTTATAATATTTGACAAGAGTAGGAATATGAAGATTAAAAATAAATATTTGGGAAAAAGTCATTATTGTTGAATATTTAAGCTTATTATTAATAATTTCGAAAAAGTAATAGGATTAATTTTAAATCCTGCCTAACTTCTCTAATCTTTGAAAAGTGAAAAACTAATCACTACTAGAAAAAATAATAAAAGAATGAGTATTAATTTTAAAAAACGAAGTTCGGTATATACTAGAGTCTTGCGGGGCCGACCTAAGGCCGGGCCAACGGTAGAACTAATAAAATATAGGACCGGCGCCCGAAAAATATTAATTATATTTCTTTCTTATTCTTCCTTTTTTTGCCTAATTGAATATCAGAATTATAAAAGAATTTAAAATATTTTATAATAGAATAAAATAGATAAACATGAATTTATCAAATCAATTACTGATTATTTAAATTTAATGCATAAAATAGAAAATGTAATAAAGATTTTGAATTTAAGATTTCCTCCTTATAAGCTTATTTAAAAATTCGCGTTACGGACCAAGGATAGATCGAAAAAATTTGACATCGGGTGGGGGGTCGAAATTTATATATTTTGTAGGTCCCTATTTTAGACGTGGTACAATAATATACGAGATTAACACTTATCAAAATTATAGTTTTTACATTTCTTTTCTTTTTCGTTTTTTTTTCCTTTTATTTTACTTTTTCCTTTTTTTACGTTTTTATTTCTACAAATTTTTTGACACAAAACAGAATAATTATCTATAGTCTAAATAAATTTGGAAGAAAAATTAATATTTTTGGAAGCAAAAATATTAATGATTATTAATATTTTTGGAAGCAAAAATATTAATGATTTATTTCGTTTTTTCCCCTTTTTATATCTTACAAATAAATTAAAATTAATTAATAATATTAGAGACCTGCAGAGGTACCATTTGCACGGCCCGGCCTGGCCCGGATTAAAACATTTTCGACCCGGCGCGGATTTCCAGCCCGGCCCGGGTTTAAATATTTTTAGACCAGGCCCGAATATTTAAAAAAAATTTTGGGGAGCCAGGCCCGGCCTGGATTTTTTAAAAAAAAAATTTTTAGGCCCGGCTCGGAATTTTTAAAAATAATATTCGACATGGTATATACAAAATATTCATCTATTTGGTATTTTATCATATTTTTCGACGAGTATTATCATTTAATAAGCTAGCACAGACGTGTACGCAGGAATTTTGTCTGGGGGGGGGGGGGATAATAAAATATTTTAAGAAATATTATTGTTTTTTAAAAATATCAAGCATAAATTTATTAGATAACTATTTCTAATACACAATTTTAAATTTATGTGAATTATAAAAAAATTATATGTAAAGAATCACTTAAATGACCCAAAATAAAAACTTGAATTTTGAGCCTTTACACAAAAAGTTTCTTAGGAATAATTGCATTTTATATGTTATATATTTACAATATAAAATCCAATCTTCGTTGTGATTGAGCTAATTTTTCAATTATCTCATCCTTGCTTGTCGTCAAATGCCTATGAATATTCAAAAGATCCAAACCTTTCAATCTACTTTAAGATGTTGTACTTCTTGGTATGTTTTTCAGAGACCTGCAGGTTCGGCCCCAGGCTGGACAGTATTTTAATTTTTTTAAATATACCCGGGCCGGGCCAAAATTTTTTTTAAAAAAACACCCAAGCTGCGTCTGAAAATTTTATTTTAAAAAAAGCCGGGCCGGGCCTGAAAATTTTTTAAAATAAACCCAGGCCGGGCCGTAAAAAATCTTTAAGGGAAATCCGGGCCGTGCCCTGCAAATGGTATATCTGCAGGCCTCTGTTATTCATCTTAAAAATGAGAATGTTCTCTCATTAGTTTACTAATGGTAAGAGTTTATAAACCTTTTAATACATTGGGAATTTATTCTAAAATGTGTTTGAAATAATACAGAGCATCCATAGCATTTTTGGGACTATATCAACCATTGTTAATCTTTTCTATCACCATCTGAAAAAGGTTGGGAAGGCTTTTGTGGAAGTAATATTTGCAGATTAGTAAGTGCTGCATGATGAATTAAAAATTCATTTATTTGGGTTATAAATGTATTTGTATTTAAGATATACCCTTCTACTGATCCTATATTAATGTTTTAACGATGAGCTTGCCTTGCAACAAGTCGAGGGAGACAAATATTAAACACTTATGCTTTTGACTCAACAATGAAATATTAAATTCTTCATCAACATTAGCCCTAATTTCCTTGAGTTCTGATAAAATGCTCTCCGTTATTCTCATCTTAATCAAGTCAATGTCATATTTTTGAAAAGTAATACTTAAATAGTTGTATAATTAAATAATACATTCTAATGAGAAATAAAATTTAGAATAAGCATTGAATCCAATAATTTTCTTGCTTCTGAAGAAATATTTCTTTCAGGCCATTGTGATATTTCAGTAATAGCAAATAATTGGCTCTTCTAACTCCTTCAAAGCTGTTACTGCTTGATTGGCAGAGACTCTATCTCGTTGGACAAGGTTGCAATTTCTTTTTCCCTGTTGGACAAGAAGTTTCAGAAATAATAATTATTTGACTAGAAATTTGAAAATGGTAGATAAATATTACGCCACTAAAAATTTGAGTAAATATTACGCCGGAAAACTTGAAATCGAAATTAATTGATAAAATAACTTAGCAGATAAATGTAATTAAATATATATTTAATATGAGATACGAATAAATATTAACAAATATAAATTAATATAAACAATAATATTTTTGAAAAATATATCCGGCATCTGCATTTTTTGGCTTTGATGAGCAAGCATACTAGCTATATTGTTAAACGGCTCTTTTTGAGCCGATTTTTTTTAAAATTTTTCTGGATAAAAAACTGAGTTAGCCGTTTTTAAAAATCAGCTCAAAACGAGCCGTTTAACAACACTAATTTTATTTTTTTATATTCTAAACAGATATTTAGTATATTACAAATTGATAATATAAAAAATTTGTGTAAATAATATTTTGAGAATATACCAGGGTTCCAAACCGAAACGAATATCGGTTCGGTTTGGGTTCAGGTTCGGATAAAATATACGGTTCCAGGTTCAGGTTCGGTTCGTAAAAAATCAAAATATCGGTATCGGTTCGAACCTCTAAAAACCGGTTTGAACGCTTTTGTATTCAAACCTACATTCGAATTATGTATAGGGAAAATTTTTTATTTTATCATTAATTTAAAAAAATACATGTATAAAACCTACCTTTTATTTTAATTGCACATTATAAAATTTAATTTATAAATATAAAAATAAATATCAATGATTAATTTTAATATGAACAATATTTTACTTAAATTTTTTTTATTAAGCCGCACAATTAATATATTTTCAAAATTCGTCCCACTCAAATTACATCTATAAGGAGATAGCTTATAAATTTAATTGTTGAAAAACATCTTTCCATAGTCCACACTAACTCTGGTAGCATGCACTGCCAATATGATATCAGATTTGATATGTGATTTATAGTAATATTTTGGATTTAATTTTTCTCTAAGCCTTATAATTTATAAGCTTAGAGGAAAATGTTGTTAAATGACAATTTACTAAAGTTTACAAAAATTATTACCGACACTTATCAATCAAACGTGATTCATGATAATCTTTAAAATAATTAATATAAATAAATTTTTTTCAATTATACTAATAATAACTTACATATTATTTTATAAACATAAAATCATGAGTCTCGAACCGGTTCAGAGGCATTTTATCGGTTCGGTTCAGGTTCGGCTAGAATTTTTTAGCGGTTTAGGTTCGATTCAGGTTCGATAAAAAATACCGGTTTTTAACGGTTCAGGTTCGGTTTGGATCCCTGGAATATACTATATTAATTGTATTTATAAAAAATAAAACTGATATTTTAATTAGTAAAAAATATAACATATATTATATAATAATGTATTTAATCCTTTGCGTAATTATTGCATGGCAGGAAAACTATAATTATATTATGTATAAGATACTATGAGTGTTAGCTAGTCAAACATATTTTTAAGCGTGGAGATTAATATTATAAAAATATTATACCCATTTTTCCATGCCTTTTAGACCTTATATTTTGGAGAATCATAAAAAATAGAGAGTATAATAATCTCCTCAAACATGATTATCTAGCCGTATTCTTAATATATTTATCAAATTACAACATCCATCAATTGATGGTTTACATATATACATTTGTAAATAGAATTATTAAAATGGAATATACAAAATTAATAAATAAAGCGAGAATATAATAAGAAGTATAACGAGCTCCATGAAGTTGACCGAACGATTGGAAACACTGACGATGAAACTTATATAATTCTTTAGTGCTTCTTTAGTAGAGTTAATGCTTCAATCACTTTTGAATCCGAATTTAAGTTATTTGTGAAAAAAACAATAAATAGCAGCCAACTAAAACAAAAACTATAATAGTACTAAACATCCGGT